CATGCTATCCTTCCTAGGATGTATTTCCTCTTTCATGCCTTCTCCTATCCTAGTGAATCCCTACTCACTCTTCAAAACCCATTTCACCACCATGCTTGGCTTCTTATCATGGGGGGCGGGCAGGGGCGTCTTGCTAATTTTGTGTCTGGGCTGTGTTAGTTATGATTCTTCCATTCTCTGCTTCCTGAATAGCTGGGACTGCAGGTGTGAGCCACTGTGTCCAGCTAAGAAATCTCTTTTATGTCACTATGCCCACAGTCTACCATGGCAGTTATAATGTCACTCCATAAAAGTTTGCTTCCTCCACTTACCAGAAGCTCAGGATGTTTATTCACTCTGTACTTACTGTGTGACATCATATAATACCCTAAGTAGATGAATGAATTCAACATGAAAAAAAGATTGTGCAAAATAGATACTCTCATCTGAGGTTTCAGATGGGCATTCTTTATTCAACAAATACTACCTGAGCCTTTATTATGGACCAGGTTCACAAAGACCGAAGGAGAGGAGCTGGGAATGTGGCTTAGTGGTAGAGTGTTGCCTAGCATGCATGAAGCCCTGGGTTTGTTTCCTCAGTACTACATAAACAAAAAAAGCCAGAAGTAGTGCTGTGGTAGAGTGCTAGCTCTGAGCAAAAGAAGCTCAGGGACAGTGTCCAGGCCCTGTGGTCAAGCCCCAAGACTGGCAAAAAAAGAAAAAAAAAGACCAAAGGAGATTCAAAGAGGAAAGAGATTTCTTTCGAAACTCTCTATGTAATGGAGGTTGTCATATAATTTGTAGACAAATGATATACAATTCACATTCCATAGTTCAGTAGTATAACACCTGTCTGAGATTGAGCCCCAGAATCACTAAAGAATCAAAGAATAAACAAACAAAAAATGTGCTCCTGAGATTTTTAGCACATTCACAGTGTCATTCAACTATTACTACTTTATAAAGAACATTTGCTATCTGTATGAAGTTCTGTACATATACTAGTCCCAAGCAGGGCAGAGGGAATCTCTCCCAGGGAAGAAACACATTCCAGGGAAAAGAGCCGAGTTCCGTGATGGCCCAGCATCTGGAAATTATGAAAAGTGAAGGGTTTTGGTGGTGGCTCATCTCTAAAATCCTAGCTGTTCAGGAGGCTAAGATTTGAGGATTGTGATTCAAAGCCACCTTAGACAGGAAAGTCCTGTTAACCACCAGAAAGTTGGAAGCAGAGTTGTGGCTCAAGTGGCAGAATGCCATCCTGGAGCAAAAAAGCTCAAGGTCACTGTCCAGGCCCTGAATTTAAGCCCCAGGACTGGCACAAAAAAAGATGTAGGGATAGTGGAGGTGTTGAAATCATCACCTCAAAATTACTTCACTGCTGTTTTTGCCCCCACCTTCCAGTAAACAGGCTTTTTTATTTTCTTATCCAACTGCTCAGGTTATGTAGAAACACTGTCTGTATTGACACCCATCAAGTTCAGCAAGAATCATTTCTTGAAGATTTTGTAGATCCCAGAAGTTAAGGCCACTATAGCAACACCATTAAGGTACTCTGACAATGAACAGACATACTTCGGTTATGAAAAGCCAAGATGAAGATTTAATAAATTCATGGACTCTCAAAATAAAATACTTTATTTTTAAAGTTTATTTTATTCTAAGGGTGATGCCAGACAGGTTAAACAGTTACATAAGTAAGGTAATAAGATACATTTCTTGTTACCCCCTCCCTTGTTATCTTCTATTTTCCCTCCCCCAAGTTTTAAAGTTCAAAGATGAAAGATTTTCTAGGTGAATTTTCTGCTCATGAAGAAGTTCTGCTTTCTTGGACTTCAGTTTTCCAGCTTATAGATACTTCAGAAATCTGGTCCCACCTACCTTATCAACATGCGGTTCTGTACCTTTGAAACTTTTCAAAAGACATGCTTTAAAAATTATTATTTTACATATTACTACTAGAACGTCGACCACATCTCTAGCTTTAAATATTCAAAACTATTGGCTCCATTAGGTTTCAACTGAATCCAGATCATTGAAGAATTCTAAATGGGAGAGCTGAGGTGGGCAAACTTCAGACAAAGAAGGTAGAAAGCACGTTTTGTCAGGCACAAGCAATGGCAAACCTTTGGTTTCCTGATTTTTCACTTTGGGTCTGTCCATGCTGTCTTCCCTAAGTAAAGAACTGTATCTTAGGGTGTAATTCTGAACCTTAAGAGGAAGAACTGGGGGGTTCTGCAAATCAGAGGTTTGGAGAAATTGTTCACCCACGCTCAACATTCAACCTTCACTTCTGCATCAACACTTACAAAATGTCAGATCAGAAAGCACCGAGTACTTTTTCCAGAAGAAAAAGTTTGAAAACAACTTTCTTAACAGAGAAAGAAAACTCTTCCAGAAGTCACTTCTGCTAAGAATACTTAAACTCATGTTTAAAAACTAACGGTCTTATAATAGGATCAAGTTAATTGTAATGTCTGAAAATATTATACAACGTAAGTCTCACTGGCTTTCAGACATGAATGAGACCACCTATCTCTGTCACTCTCGTTTCTCTTTTATAATATGTAGCTTTTACTGTAAATAAGGAAGCAAACCTGCCTATTTACATCCTATCACATAACGAGACCATACTGAATTGGGGGGGGGGGGGACATGTGTGCAAATAACCAGAAGACGGTCGGCTCCTATTATGCTGTGGCATATACACACGAGTGGCTTCATTTGTGATTTTTTTCCCTCCACATTTTAGTAAGGGAACATCCATAACTAGTTGATCTAGTACTTTTGGGAACGGCGGCAAAGTTCATTTCCAACCCCAGGCGCAGAAAAATCTAATTCATTTTCCGGAGAGAAGGAAGTATGAGAACGTTTCTGACAAAAGCCAGAATCAAAATAACTGCCAATGTCTAGATGAAAATGGACTCGTGATTCCCCCCCCCCCCCCCACACACACACTAATTTTTTAAGCCTCAAAAAAAGTATTTTAAAACTCCTAGGTAAGTTTCTGGGGCAAAGAACGAAACAGTCCTTCAGTGTGGGTCCCATAGCGCTTCAACTGTGTTTCATGCAGCCCTCCCAAGAACTCCCCAAGGGTGGGTTACTAGCTCTCCTCTTTAGAGATGAAACAGGCTGGTGGATGCTGGAACGTCTCAGGCTATGCCGCAGGAGCAGAGGAAGCGGTCTGAATCCCGGGGAGACAGGCTACCCACTTGAAGGACAATCAACAGGCAGCATTTGAAAAAGATACACACACACACACACACACACACATCTATCTATCTATCTATCTATCTATCTATCTATCTATCTATCTATCTATCTATCTATCTATCTATCTATCTATCTATAATGCAACAAGCTACATTCAATCTGCCTCGGGAACAGGAAAACTACACGACTTCATAACTCAGCCAGTTCCCCCGAACTCACTCCATTCCAGAAACCAGGTCCCATCGCCGCCTCTTCCCCTCCACTCCGCCCCCTTCAGTGTATTTAAAGCCCTCAGCTGTGCGGAGCTGGGGAGGATGAACTCCTTTACCTCTAGATCCTGCCATTTTCCTCTTTCCGTAGTCTTTTAGTGTCTGGCTGCGACAATGACTCTAACCACCAGGCTTCCCTCCCCAGACCTTGCAGTCCGGGGTGTCCAGTGTCTGTCCAGTCTGGCGTAACAGATTCCTCTCCCGGCCGAGGGGCTTGGACGGCTCTCAGTGCAACCACGCTGCCCCTTCCGTCGGTCACGCCGTTTCCTCCGCCGGGAAGGGCTCCTTTCCTCTCCCGGCCCTCTCAAGGCTCAACGAACTCCTACACAGCCCGTATACGCCCTCGCTTCCCGCACCCGCGCCACCCTACCCTGCCCCTGGCCCTGGGAATGAACCTGGTGGCCGAGCCTGGTAGCGCGCACCCGTTCCCCGGGCCGCCGACCCGCCCGCTCCGCACCCGCGGTCACCTGGCTGGGCGGGGGGAAGGGAGTGCGCCCGGGAAGCCTCCACACTCCCCAGAATGGAGCAGCCGCCCACTTCAGCACGGGGTCCCGAGCGCGCGGGGTCCTGGCGGAGAAGAGCGTGACTTCTCCGGCCTTCTCCGCTTCCACTTACGGGGCGGGAAACTGAGGCCCGGGGTCAAGAGCAACTCCCCCCCGGGATGCGGGGGGAGGGGGTGCGGGGAAGGGCTGTCCCCGAAGGACTCGCGTGGTTCTGAGTGTCCAATTCTGGTTCCGTCCTTTGACCACGCGCCGCCGTCCGCGCTCGGGGAGGAGCCGCGCGGGGAGCGGGTCTCGGGACGAGCGCACCGCCCGGGCACGCGCAGGGAGCGAGTCTCCGCCAACTCGCCTCCAAAGTTGTCTCCCAGCCTGCCCCCGCCGCTCACCTCCCCAACACACCTTCCCGCGGGCGCGGGCCGCGCGCACCACATCCGGTCCACCTGGCGCACACCCCTCTCCACGCCCGCTCGCGGCCCCTCTCCCTCCCACGCCGCCCGCGCCTCGCCGCGGCCCCGCACCCTCTCGCGCGCGCTCCCACCCGCGTTCCGCCGCTCGCCCGGCCTCACCGCCGCGCCCGCTGTGGGGTTACGGGGCCCCGAGCCCTAACCCAGGGCCGAGACCCGCTTCCGCCCGCCGAGTGCGGGGCCGGAGCCCGGGTAGGCGCGCCGCGCGTCCGGAGCGCCCGGGGGGCGCGGGGCGGGGAGGGGGCGCTCGCTCACTCTCGGCGGCGCACACGCCCGTACAAACTCTCAACAGACAAACGCGGGGTGCGCGGCCGCCGCCCGCCGCTGCTCCTCCTCCCGCCACCGCCTGGAGAGGGAGAAAGAGAGGGAGGCAGAGAGAGCGCTTTGTCCGCGCGCCGCCGCCGCCGCCCGGCCCGGGACTCTGCCCCGAGGAGGCAGCCGCGCCGAGTCCCCGCCTCCGCCTCTGCCCCCGGGCGGGCCGGGCCGGCCGCGGTGGGGGGAGCCAGGCTGAGGGTGAGGGTGGGGGTGGGTGGCGGGCGGGCGGAGGGCGGGGAGGGGGGGCGGAGGAGGAGGAGGAGAGACGAGGGCCGCGGAGGAGGCGAGGAGCGCCGGGTACCGGGCCGGGGGAGCCGCGGGCTCTCGGGGAAGAGACCGATGATGAACAAGCTTTACATCGGGAACCTGAGCCCCGCCGTCACCGCTGACGACCTCCGGCAGCTCTTCGGGGACAGGAAGCTGCCCCTGGCGGGACAGGTCCTGCTCAAGTCTGGCTACGCCTTCGTGGACTACCCCGACCAGAACTGGGCCATCCGCGCCATCGAGACCCTCTCGGGTGAGTGCTCAGCGCTGCCCCTTCCCCCCTGCTCCGTCCCGTTCCAGCCGGGACGGAGCCCGCACGGAGGGCCGAGCCCTGCGGGCGGCGCCCGGCGGGGGCTCCCGTGCCCGCACGCTCACTTCCACGCACCGGCTCAACTCTCGTCTCCAGCCCGCTCCCGGGACGGCCCGCTCCCCTCCCCCCGCAGCCCGGGGCTCACCCCTCGCCCTCCGGGCCGCACCTCTGGGGCACCTCCCGGGTCCCTCCGGGGGGTCCCCGGGGCTCGCTTGCTCTTTGGGCGCACCCATAGGGCCCCGTACGGCTCTTCAGAGGCCCCCACCCCCACCCTTGTACCGTCCGGTGCCCCCCCACCCCAGGTTCACTGACCTTCCCGTCACCCCCTTTGCAAGAGACCCCCCTCCCCAAATCCGGCATCTCCTCCTTCCCTGGCCGGACTTTCCTTCTTCCCATGCCGCGTGCCCAGAACCTCCCTGAGCCGCACTCCGGTTTCGAGCCCCCTCCTCACCTGTCTTCCCCCCCCCACTTTCGTCACCCCTCGGTTTCACCTGGATGGACCCCTCGAAGTCTCGGGGCTCCCCCCGACCCAGCCCCGCACGCCCGCACATCTCCCTCGCTCCTCTCCCGAAGCTCAGTCCCCTCGCTGGTCTCGCAAGCGCTCCTATTTTTCCCTGAATTTTTTGTCCGATTTTATTGAGAGGAACTCGGGGCTGGGGGCTTTCCGCCGCCCGTCCCCCTGCCTCCCGCTCGGCCAGAAGCACCTTTTTACGAGGTGCCCTGTCTCAACTCGGTGGGGGCCCGGGCTGAGAACCGGGAAAGAGGAGACCGGGGGGCCCGCGAGCGCGCCGGAGCCCAGACGGGAGTCGGAGAGCGACACACACTTACACACACACACACACACACTCGCGCGCGCGCGCTCTCCCCAGCCCTCCCTCCCGCACACGCTGCGCGCGGAGCCGCGCTCGGACCCGGGCCCCGGCCCCCCGGGCCCCGCGGCCCCGCTCCGCCAGAGCCCCTTCCCCAAGAGCGCGTGGGGTGGGGGCGGGGCGGCGGCCAGGCCAAGGTGACACCCAGAAGCGGGCCGGGCCGGGGCTGGTCGCTGCTGCACACCCAGGGGGGGCTTCAGTGCGTCTGTTCGGGGCCACCGGGAAGGTGGGTGGTGGGGGGGTCGCACGTGGTGGAGCCTTTGCGGTCCCGGGTTTTCGGAATGGAGAGGTGGGGGCCGGCTCGGGAACGGGGCCGCGCCAGCCTTGCAGCTTGAGTTTCAAATGAGCTCATCCTTTCAAATTGGCGCCGCTCTTTATTAAATTTGTTTTTCCGGTAATGCCACCCACAGCTCTACCTGGGGTCGGAGCCGACCTCGCACCCTTCCTTTCGGGGCCCGAGAGCCGAGAAGCCCACCTTGAATTACTCTGGGTACTAAGTTCGCTGGGCTGGCGCGGGGTGGGAGACCCCTGGAGGGCGCCCGAAGGCGGTGCCCAAACTTAAGAGTTGTGTGTCTGCCCTTCCTAGACCCCCGCGCGTTTGGTCTCGGGAAGGTTCTGAGTGCTTTAAATTTCTGTTTTTAAAGGTAAAGTGGAATTGCATGGGAAAATCATGGAAGTTGATTACTCAGTCTCTAAAAAGCTAAGGTAAATATATTTTGTTTAGATTTTTTTTTTTTTTTTTGCTGTTGGGATTACGTGTAAGTAAAAAAAAAAAAAAAAAAAATACAAAACCACCCAGCTTTTAAAAACATGCCCTTAGTTTTGAAAAGGATTTTCGTGGAGATACATAGCATAGAAAGTTACATTGATTTACTTTTTTTTTTTTTTTACTTTCATTATATAAGGTGCTTTCTGTGCTTGGAAAATATCTGGTATCTAATGGGGGGGAGAGGGTCGGGTGGATAACTGGGTTCAGTTCTCTGGGACCAGTTAACTTGTTTATTAGAAGTTGCCTCCCCCCCACCCCCTCTGCTTCCCACTCCCATCACTACCCCAGCACAATGGCAACAAATGCTTGTCAAGACTTCCTGTGAGATGTTAAGTGTAAATATTTACTGTGTCAGCTGAATTGCTTAACCAAACTTCGCGATTAATTTTTTTTTGATATTTTAATGTGGAATGATAAAATCAATTAAGGGCTCCATATATTTCTGAGGCATTCTTAAATCGTTTTTGTGGATGAACAATCACTGAGACAAACAGAATTGTTTCTGAGCAGTTTGTTATTGTTGTTGCTTTTAAGAAAACCTTGGTGGCACAATAGGCAACAAGGGGAGATCTATAGCCAAATTTAAGTGTACTAGCTTAATGAGGGAGTAACAAGTTTTGTGGGGATGGGATTTCTCCACAGTGATTTGCTAACATTGAGAGTTATCTAAGGAAAGAGGGAGGTCGAGCATCTTTGTTTAAAGTTTAATGTGGACTTTAAATTTGGGCCCTTTATTACTCATTCTGAACTTTTTCTTCCTTGTGTCCCAGCTTAGTTTATGTCTCATTCACATACATTTCTTCATTATTACTCATTAAACAGCTGATGGTGAGGAGCCAAAATGAAGTTACTACCTTGATGGTCTATGGGTAGCCACTTCCTTGGTTTTTCAGGATTGAATATATTTTAAAACAAGGTACTTTTGATAAATGCTGGGATGTGTTGGGGAGACTTAAAAAAAAAAGTTCCACATTTCTACATACATCTTAAATAACAACATCTTTTGTTTGTAAATGAGTCTGTGCCCTATCAGAAAATTAGTATCTCTTATTTGAAAAAAAAAGATGGGAGTTAGGATTTGCAGTTTCCTGTGTCCCATGAAGCTAGTTCTTCCTTATGTTGTAAAAGATACAATATGTAACTAACTGGGTTTTAGTAAGTATTCCAAATTTTTTTATTTTCCTTTATTAGTTTTCAAAAAGTGTCCTAAATTTGTATGCTTTCCTAGTATTATTTCTTACTTGAGAAGTCCAAGTGGCAGTTTTTTGCTACACTGAATACTTATTTAAGGTTAAGTTACTTATCCCACAGTATGTGAAAGTTTGATGAACATATTGAATAATGTTTGAAAGAACTATCCCATGTATTTAGTGCATTGTATTTCTAAATCAACTTCTATTGACTTTCTAGCTGTTGTGAATTCTTCGATGGTTACAATTAGTAAAAATCACTAGACTTTTAACTTTGGATAGTTTATATCCCATTATTTTATGATGCATTGTACATTATTTTCAACATAAGTGAAAAACTAGTTTAAAGTCATTAACCTCAACTAGAACTCAGCAAACACTATTTTTTTTAGCTTTTTTTTTTTTTTTTTTTCAAAATGCAGACATTAATTGTTGTCTGGCATGTCAATGAAAGAATTTTGTTCTGCTCATATGGGTTCAGAATTAGAGTCATGTCCCAAGTTCTTAGTATAGATTAAAGAAAGAACGATCTAGGACTTACCCAGTGCTCTTAGCACATGATTTCTTTGAACATGTTGGTGATATGAAATACCCAGGAAGCAGCTGAAAATGCACTGTGTATGATTCACTGCATTTGAAGATGGCTAACATACCAAGTGTATGCATAAGCTGCTACTGTATGGGGGTTGCGTCATTTCTGATTGGATGGTTTTAATCTTTTTTTCCTTTATTAGTTTGAAATGCAGAAGTTTGCTAGTTGTACTGCGGGCTAGGGGAGAGGTAGCTATGAGTGATTTGTGAACTGGTTCAGATTCCTGGGATGAGGCTGAAGTACTAGGCTGGTGGCTTTCAAAAACCAGGCCACTGTGACACTTCAAGCCAAAGCTTTTATATATATTTTATTGTTCTCTTGGTGCATTTCTATGCAAATTAACAAGTTATAAGTAAATTTGTAAGCATTAAGTCAGTTCTATATGTGGTTTTTGTGTTAGTTGAAGTGCAAATGCGAAGAACACAATTCATCCTTATTGCCTGCTTACTTAAAAATGATTCAACAATTGAGTGCTAATTTTCTTAATATTATACTTGTTTCTTTGATTTTTCAAGAAACAGCATTAATACCTCAAATAGAATTTTAAAGCCAATGATAGTTTGAAGGGAGGTAGTTTTAATCTTAATTTATGAAATTATTGGCATACTATTTGTTTACCAATAGGGTCTTTTGTTACATATAATTTCTTATTTCCCAGCAGATAGACAAGCTACCACTGTTTTCTCAGTTACTCAGAAAATTCTTTTTACCACATGTACTTCATTCTTAAATGCAAATCATTGTAATGTAAACCATGCACAAAGCATCAATTTCTCTTTCTAAATTGTATTCAGTCTACTGAATAAAAATCTTTGTTTTTTCCCCTTTATTTATATATCTTGGTAATACAGATGGACCAAAGATTTATTAATAAAAGAACAATTTGATAACTTTAAAAATACTGATAAAAGTTGTCACAGCTTCCTTGATAGAAATTCATTTTGTGTGTTGAAGTTTAAAAAGCCATGTATACACACATATACATGTGCACACACATATTGCATCAGTTGTTTTTGAACTAAGACATGCCAACTTGAATGTGCTTTTGAAAGTAAAGTTGAGTGATTCTGTGAAAAACAAAACTTTGAAAAATGCAATTTCTGCCCACTTGTAGGAAGTAACTAAGCAATGTAGGGTATGTTTCCATGGTGTGAATACTAGGAGATAGTGTATGGAAAAGCTATGAATTTGTCTTTCATGAGTTAAAAATCAGTAATTGTGCTGTCTCTAATGCAAATGAATTTCATCTCCTATAGGAATGTTAAAGAAAACAGTATCTCAATTGTATTTTGCTTGTATGTACTACATTGTGTATAGATGAATTAAATACCAAAAAGAAAAAAGAAAAAAAAAACCCACCCAACCTCAAGCCCTCCCTACAACAAAGGCTTTTGCTGAATCAAGTTTTAATGTTTTAGAAACAGAAAAGACTTTATTATGTTAAAGTCATATGGTAGTCTCCTATCTCAAGAATTTGTTGAAATAAGACTTAATTCCTAGATTTAATTTTATAGCTGTAATGAGTGAATATAATATATATTAGTATAGTACATTTATTAAAGAGGAAATATAAATACTCATCATTAAGGTTACTTTTTATTTTGCTTTAAGGTTGAATGTTTTCTATTTTTAAAAAGGTTAATTTTTCATATTCTAGAGAGTACACACTTTTGTCACTTCTAAGTATTAAGTATTACGATTAAATGGAAAAGAAAAAGAAAAAAAACTTGGTAGTTTAGGTAATGATGAAGGTTTAAAATTCTAGCTTTGTTTTCAAAAGACTAATCACTTTTAGCCTTGTTTAGTTAAACATTAAAAAGTAATAAGATCTACAGATCAAAATAGATGTTATTTGCTTGATTTTTCAGTTCACCTAATGGATATCAATTTTAAATTGTAAATGGACAATTTAAGGAGGGATATAATTGCCAAGCACCTAAATTTCAATTCTAGAAGATAGTTCTTGATATATAGTATATTTCCTAAATTGTACTTTTCAACAATAATCATAATTGATAATTATCTTTCCTTGTGGTTATAGTTAATATGACCAGTAAGAGATGGTCTAAGAGTTTTATGTTAAAGCAACATTAGCTTTTAATAGATGAGGCAAGATCAGTAATATTTAAAATAAGCCTTTCATACATAATATTCTAAAGTACAATGCTGTATATTTTAAGAAATACTTTTAACTTAAATTTTTTTAAGTGAGATTAGAAGATTGAGAGCTAATGACATGTCAGAATTTGCATTTTAGCATTACTTTGCATAAACAAGTTTGTGTTTAGTGAGTTAGGGAATAATATTGGTATTTAATTGGGCATAAAAAAGGATGGTAACCTGGACACATTTATTGAAAGTTACAAGATCTGTGAAATACACATTTCTCTAAGAATTATTTATACATTTTTGACACTTTTAAACTTTTAAAATATTTGCTGTCTGCCGTTGAATCACTCTTGCAAATTTGGTAATGAAACCCTGAAAAGTAGATGAGCAATTTGTCAGAGTTGTTAGGGGATATTATTGAGCTAAGTGTGTCATCTCTGATTCAGTGGGGAGTGTACAAGCATGTATTTTGTGAGGGACAGTAGTTCAGACAGATAGTACCAAGAGAGAACAGAAGGAGATCTTTAATTGAGCAACAGTTTCTCTGAATTTCAGTCCAGACCAGGGTAATGAAAACTGCTAGGCAATTGAAGCATTGAAGCCTGCAAAGGAATTAGATGTCATGGTATTTTCCCAGAGTGATGCCCTTTTTTTTTTTTTTTTTTTTGTCAGTCGTAGGGCTTGAACTCTGGGCTTGGGCGCTGTCCCTGCGCTCTTCAGCTCAAGGCGAGCGCTCTACCGCTTGAGCCACAGTACTACTTCTGGTTTTCTAGTGGTTTATTGGAGATAAGAGTCTCATGGACTTTCCTGCCTTGGCTGGCTTTGAACCGTGATCCTCAGGTCTCAGCCTCCTGAGTAGCTAGGATTACAGGCGTGAGCCACCAGCGCCTGGCTGAGTGATGCTCTTGTAGATTGTTGATCTTATTATGAAAGTTAAAGCATGGGCATATGTAGTGTTTTTGTTTTTGCTTATTTGTTTTGCTGTACATGGCATTGCAAGAACTATCCAATGTAAAATCTATTTTCTTTCCTAATTACCTTGGTA